TTTCTTTTAAATATGCTTGTACTTTTAATTTGTTTAATTCATCAAGTTTATCTTTTAACTCTTGTAATGCTACTTTTTATTTTTTATGTGTTTTGAAATATAAACGAATAAAATTATATTTTTCTGTTGAATCAAATAGCTGTTTTTCAATAATTTCAAAAAAATCTGGTTTAAATTTATCAATATACGAATTAATTAATTCTTCACTCTCATTCTTTAACTTAATATCAAAAAATATATCTTTTATAACAATGTTTTTAGTTATTTTTTCTCTATTTGTACAAACAGAGAATAAACGTAGCAAATAATTTTTATAATTAGAAGCATTAACAGATTCATATATGAAAAATAAATCTGGTTTTTTATAAGAATTTATTAAATCTTTACGTGTTTTTTTTTATATACACATAAAAAAATTTATTCAGTTAATTATAATTAAATATTATTTATTAATTATTATAACTGAATCTTATTTATTAATAGACTTCATTTTTTTTGATAATAAACAATCTATATTCTTGATAATGCAGTGCTTTAACTATTTATTTACAAATAGATAAAAATTTAATCACTTGTTTTTCTGTTTTAATATTTTTCAGAGAATAATTAAATTCAGTGATTAAGCTTAAGGTTTCATAATATTTTTTTGAAACTATTAAAAAAGTGAATAATTAAGATCATCAAAGTATAAAAAAATTTCTTGTAACTGTTGAAGCTCTTAACAAAAGATATATATTTTTAATTTATATAATTATTTTTCTAACCAGTTTTTAAAGAAAAACTGATTAGAATTTAAATAATTGTTAAAAATATATATTATATTCTTGTACTTTTTTTTTTTTTAACTTTATCTCCCTCTGCTATCCTGAAGGTCCTTAGACACCTTTAGGATCTGTCACATTTCTTAAAGGCCAGATTCATCATTCTGTAGAGATCAATAAACGGCAGATGGCCGCTAATTCTTCACCGTACTTGTGAGATAGCTCATGCTCTATTAAGTCTGTCATATGATGTCTCAGGTCCCTGGCTCTGCGGTGTAGGATCCCGACTTTGAGATCTGCAGTTCCCTAATTTTACATGACCCACTAGCCAGATCGTCTGTATATTTACTAATGTTCTATTAATCTGAAACCGGGCTTCCTCAATATTAGCATCATTTGTTGATGGATTACACCTTATCTGGTTATTCTCGACTCTGTGGTTATGCCGGTAACTGCTTTCTTTCGTATGAATCTTGCTCTTTTTCTTTTATGAAAACCCTGAAGATCATTTCCGATCGTGGTCCTAACAGAGTTTTTGTCGCCCTTTGAACTTAAACCCGCGACCTTGCGATTGAGACCCAGAGTGCTAACTACTGCACTATTGATCCGGGGTCTATTCTTGTACTTTAGCATTAGTAGTATTAAAAACAATATGTTTAGAATATAATTTAGAAGCATTATTTTCATAACTATCACAAAGAGATTTTAAATATTCTAATGAAACTTTTTTATCTTTCTATTTCTTTCAACTTTTTGTTTATAACAAATTTTAGGTAAACATTTGATAAAGAAATTAAATTTAGTATTAATTTGTTCTTTCCTTTTCAATTTCTTTTTAAAATAATCAAGTTTCAACTTATCATCAATAAGAATTTCAGAAAAAAATTGAGTATCCTTGGCATTCTATCAATTAAATAGATATCATATTCATCTTTTCTGATTATTTTATTCTCTTTTTAATATGCATCGATTAAAATATTTTGAAACATAAATCTATATCTTTGAGTATCTTGATAAAAATATTTCAAATCTTGTTTAAGTCAAAGTAACATCTCTTCAGAAAGATAAACTTTTAATCCTTGTTTTTCAAAAAAATCTTTTAATTTGTTTAAGAATATTGTTTTTCTAGCACCAATTGAACTAAAAGCAACAATGACTTTAGGATTTGGTTTTAAATTTTTAATACCCATTTTTAATTATGTAAATAAAATTATATTTGGTAAAATTCACTAAATATTTTAATAAAGATTAGAATAAATAATATATTTTTCAGCTTTAAATCTCTCATCTTAATATTACCAATAGAATATTCTTCAGCTTCTAAATTTAAATATTCAATCATTTTTGTTTCTTTCTTTTTGTTTTATATATTTTTAAAATAACTAAGTGCTTCTTTTTTATTTAAAATTTTAATCTCAGGACAACAACTTTTTTATCAAATTTTAGCTTGTTTGGTTAATAGTCTTTGTAATTTTTTACTATTATAAATAATAATTCCTATTTCTTTACTGAATCTTTTAAAAGCTGATTCGATTTTTTGTAAATCTTGAAAACCAAGAGATTTAACAATATTTTTATATTGAATTAAAAATATTTGTTTGTTTAGAGTAGCAATTATATCTATTCCAAAATCACCAGGATTACAAGCAATTATATTTGCTACCAATCCAATTTTATTTAAAGATTTTGCAAGAAGTTTTTCAAAATTATGATCTATTAAATAATTAGACTGAAAAAATATTAACAAAAGTTTTTTATTCACCCAAATATTCAAATATCACTGTCAAATTTTGACTTGCCACTACACGTTATAGATACCAAATATTTTTTAAAAAAATCAAAATATATCCTCAATGTTTATTAACATATTCAGAATATATCTATTTTTTTTAGAGCAGCATAACTTCCAAACTTAGTTAAATGATTTTACTCACCAATTTCAAAGATTTTTCAGTATAATCTTCTTTATCTAATTTTAAATTAGCCATTTTTTTTATATTAATAAAATTCTATTCGGTCATAAATAGACTAAATAGAAAATTGTAAAAAAAAATAACATAATAGAGAATAATAAAATATTTTTTAAAAAATAAATTTCACTAATCGTATTTAAAGTTTTTAATAAAATTTTATTAACAACTTCTTCTATAAAAAGATATGTTGTATCAATAACAAAAATTGTTAAGAGTTTTATAATTTCTTTAATAAATTCAATTGATAATGTATTTCATTTAATTATATCTAAATGAATAGTATTATGATCATTACTTTTTAATTGATTTAACCTTCTTTGAACATGTGTTTTAAAATTAGCTGTTAATAAAATTTTTAATTTGGCATTAGAAAGAATATTTGTTGCAAAATCACGACCAGATACAATATATCCTTCTTCTTTGATATTTTCACAAATTATCTTATTAATTTTTTTCATATATTGTTGTTTTTAGCAATTAAACTAGCTCTTGAACTATTTTCAATATATTCATTATTTTTAAAAAATACTGATTTGTTAAGTTGAAATATATGTTCAATTTTTTCTTGTTGTAATAAAGTTAATAATTCTTGTTTATCTTGACTTGCTGTTTTTGTTGCTAGATATCAATAAAATAATCCACTATCAATAAATTGATAATTTAACTTTAATGCAAGTAATTGACTAATAGTAGATTTTCTTGTTGATGATAAACCATTGATCATTATATTAATTTTCATAATTATGTAATTAAATTTTTAACCAGTTATTAACTAGTTAAATTATATTTATTAAATAAAATAAAATAAAATAAAATATATAAATTATTTCTATTAACTTAACCAAATTTATTCTTGAGACCTTAAATTTCTACCATGTCTATTATTTTCTTTTTCTTTAACTAATTCTTTTTCACTAAAAACTTCATCATTATTTACGATAATATTTAATTCCTCACTAGTTCTATTTGAAATATTATCATTTACCTTTGCTCTTT